CCTTGGGAGTACTTTACACAAATGACGTTTTTTCCCACAGGTTCTAGAGACAACTTGTCTCCTAGTGCTGACAAACATGAAACCTCTCAGCTACAGACTAAACCCTGCTCGGATCTTGACACAGAGAAGAAAACATCTGCCAGATGTGAACATGTCCCTGAATTCTCCAGGGGGGAGGGTGGCCAGCAGGACAGCTCTGGGGCAGGGAGCACACAGGACAGCCAGGAAGGCCTCTGCTGTGGAAGTGTCAGGCCTGCCCCTGAGGGGAAAAAAACCCAAACCTCCAGGAGCCTGATGAAGCTGAGGAGACGGACAAAGGCTCCAATATTGGAGGAAGGGGAACTTGTGTGTGATGTGCAGCTAACCAAGGCTGATGGAATGGTGGCAGCTGCCCGTGCGGAGGAGCTTCGGTCTCCTGTCTTCAGGCGGAGCAGCCTCTTGGACACTGAGGAAAATGCCCAGACAGCACCAAGAGCAGCACTTGTGTGGAGAGAAGACAACAGGTGGACTCCTCCTGATGCAGCATTTGGAGTTGTACAAGGGGTGCTTGAGGACAGTGTCCTTCCAGGAGTGCCCGAGCTGTCCCCGTGTGCCCTGGGGGACAGCAGCTGTGTCTGGCAGCCCAAGTCCCCAGGTGCTGCAGCCATGTCTGATAACCCTGAGCCTGCACAGCTGTGTTTAGAGAACAGTGACTCTGTTTTACTGGACACCAGTGGCAATGGAGGAAAAGAATCCCCCAGGATAACACAACAAGCGGATGGGGAGAGTGTGTGTGAAGATCAGGGAGAATTACGCAGGCTCCTGGATTTCATGTCAGAAAATGAAGTATTGCCTGCTGATGGAATTAACACTGAAACTAATGAGGGCAAAAGCTGTGAAGGAAATCAAAGTGATACTAATTCCTTTCCTGCAGATCTTGCTCTGGGAAGTGTTGATGAACTGATGGAGAATCAACAGCTTGAAACTCAGTCAAGACTTTCTCCTCCAGAAAAGCTGACAGCTCCCGAAAGTGCACTGAACTCTTGCACCATGGTTGAAGGGCTTCTCTTCCCAGTGGAATACTACGTCAGGACAACTCGGCGCATGTCTAACTGCCAGAGGAAAGTGGACCTTGAAGCTGTGATCCTCAGCCAGCTGGGCAGAAGCAAGAAAGGCCAGCGAAGTAAGTGCAAGCAGAAAGATGCAAATTCAGATCGGTCCTCCCAAGAAGTAGCTGAGAATAGTTTGGAGTCAGGAGTCATGCCATCCCCTTTTCATGGTGCAGAAAATGATGCAAGCAGTGCTCAGCAATCTCCTCCTGCATCCAGTGGCAGCAGCACGTCACTTGGATCAGTTTCTCAAAGCAGCATCACCAGCACAAGGCGAAACCTGAGGCGGCGGCAGCGGAGAAGGAAGGGAAGAGGGTCTGGCTGCAGTCCTGGGCAGTGGGGCTCACAGGAGCTGGGAGGGAGCTCAGGGCTCATGATGCCAGGGGAAAGCAGTTGCCCCCTGCCAAATGTGTGTCAGGGTGAAAAGGAAAGCTGTGATCTTGGAAAAGCAGCTTCAGATGAGAGCAGGTTGTCTGCTGCTGCAGCCCTTGGGTCTGGGAAGACCAACGTGCCCAGTGCCGTCCAGCCAGCAGGTCCTACTCCTGGGGGGAGCCAAGTGCTTGGCAAATGCCCGAAGACTCTGCTAGAACAGGCTCAAAATCCACTTCACAGCAGTCATTCTCTGACCCCAGGGAATGAAACTTTACCTGGCCATGTAGGAGACCTGGAAGCCAACTTACACACTGAGAACCAGCCTGTGCACAGAGCCCACAGTGATGAGCAGCTCCCAGTGACCAACGTCCCTCTGCGCCGCTCCCTGCGCTCCTCTGCACGGCACAGGGGCAGCCCAGCCTCCCCAGGGACTGCAGCCTCCCCAGGTACTGCAGCCCAGGAGCCAGGCAGGGAGTGTGTGCACTGCTGCTTGCACTCTGCTGTATTTTTTAAAAAAATAAAAGACCTTTTTTAAAAATACAGATCATTGTGGCAGTGATACTTTAGCTGCAGGCTTGATACTGAGCAACTGCAGAGTGTAATGTCTTTCCAGAAAAGTGCCACTTCTGTGTGTTCAAAAGGAAATAGCTTTTTTTTTAAAATTCGAGTGGTGCTCTGGATGAGAGATTCTGAAGCAGCTGGTTGCTGGGGATTTTATGATGTGACTTTCTCATATTGTTGTGTTTTTCTTTGTCTAGGTGAGAGCAAAAGAGGACGTAGCCATCCAGCAGCTTCTGAGGGTCCTTCTCCTGGCCTCCTTGCCACAGACCTCAATACCTGCAGCTCTCTCCTCCCCTTCCGCAGCCTGCAGTGGCTGGCCCCCACTCTGGGTGTCAGAGACTTTCACCTACCTGATGAGGAATTTGGGCTACTAAAACTTGAGAAATTGGCATCTTCCCCTGTGAATGACTTGGAGGTTTTTGTTCCTAGTGTGTTGGGAGATGATGCGGCTTCAGAGGACGAACCAGATGCACAAATGGATCCAGAAGGGAGAAGGCTCACAAGTAATTTGCTTTTGCCCTTGAAAAATGGATGGCCCAAGTTACCTCATGGAGAAAGCCCAGCTTCCAAGAGGGAACTTCCCACCCATGAATTGCTCTTTACGCCCATGGGGACTGTCCTAGCTGGTGCTCCCCTTCAGCCCGAGTCCCAGATTTCTGAGCCTATTTTCCCTGTGGTGGGTGCAACCCCTGCTGTTCCACCCTCAGGAGACAGTGAGCTCTGTCCTTCCTTGCAGCCCAGCCTGCCTTCCTCCCAGGGAGCATCTGTCCTAGCCCTGCAGGATAGGGAATGCAAAGTCTCTGCTCTTCCACAGCACTGGGACAGCTGTGGGGCAGGATCTGCTAGAGAAGAGGAGAAACAAAATCCAACGTTGCCTTTAGAAGTTGAAGGAGGTCCCAATAATCAACCTTCTGAAGCTGTGGCCTTGGAGAAGCATCAGCAGTCAGAGAGCAAAGAGCAGAAATCCTGCAGAGCCTTCCCTGAGCAGGTAACAAGCTGGTCCTTTCACCAAGGCTGCTAAACCAGTGGGTTTGTGGGCGAGTCCTCTTTTGCAGGGTCTTACCTGACTTCAGGAGAAAGACCTCTTTGCATGCCAGCCCTGAAGGCTGCCTGGTAGCTGGCTTGATGAATGTTGGTTTTCATCTGCTGCCCCAGGTCTTTTGACCTCAAGAGCAAATTCTTTTAAATCCTGCTTGATTAAACTGGAGGTGTTGGTTTTGATGCTGATTGCAGGATGTGTGTTTGAAATGGGAATGTGAACAAAAAGTTGCTGGTACCCACATAGTGTGAGTTAAAGAAAATTTCCAGCTAAGATTTGGTAAAGGAGATTAAGTGACTCACATGTGGGATGGGTGCTGAGAGAATGACTGTGCTCTGAAGGCTGAGATGGAGGGTGGTGGTAAAAGACAATTTTCAGGTGAAGCCAGGAAATAACCTGCCTGGGATCTCCTTGTTTTTCAAAGACATGCAAGTACAGAAGGAGGTGTTCCTATCATAGCTCTCCAACAGCTGCATGCAGAGTGAATTCTTGCCTTGTTCTTGCAGGTGCTGAGTGTAATTTCAAAGTTGAATTATCCTTATTCTTTACTTGTTTGTGCAGAAAACAGCTGGAGCAGGACAGTTGACTCCAGAACTGCTTGATGGCCTGAGAGAAGAGAGCTTGCAGCTTGTATCAAAGCTAAAGGTGGGACAACATGGGGTAACTGTTTACTGAGTTAGTGGCAGTTCTTTGGTACCAAGTTAAACAAAAGTGCCATTCACAACGCAGAATGGCTAGTGCTGTCTAATTTGATCAGTGCTGCCTTCACTTGGGGTGAGGCATGCTGGAAGGTTAGGTTGCTCTGTGTCTCCTTTTGACTGGTAAAGGATTTCAGTGGTTGTTTCTGAACAGTGAGTGCCTAAACACATGCAGATGTCTTAACAAACAGAACTGCTGCATTTTTCTTTAGCCTCAGGGAAGATGATCTCAGCCCTGTACCCCTGTTGCCTGACCCATGGCTCCTGCCACCCCTTCAGGCACTAAGTAAAGGAGCAGATGGTGTGAGGGCCCCACACTGCCCAGTGCACCTGTGGGTGGTCACACATTCTGGGACACAGCCCCCATCACATACCAGTATATTTGCAGCTCTGAGGTGAAAGGTTTTCCTTGGTGCTTCCCTGGTACTTCACTCAAAACTAAACATGATGAGCCTTATACTTAAGCCTCCAGTTCTCATCACACTGAAAATCAAGTGTTTTTCTCAGGCTGAACCTCCACGTTAGATACCCATGTCTGTCAGAAGAAAACCAGCACTGTTTTGTTTGGGACAGGATTCCTCAAGCTCCTGTGCTGTGGACGTGAGCACGATGTGGTGGGGAGCAGCTGGCAGCAGGGAGCTGTGCGTGGTGACAGCCTGTGAGAGTTCTGTCTCCCTGTGGAAACCTCTGGCATCCGACCACTGGGAAAAGCTCCACACTTGGCAGCTTGGAGAGGTATGAACACCATCCTTATTTGTAGAATTTAGGGCAACTTTCATGTCCCAGTATGTTAGTTCCCAAGATACAGGGAGTTTTCAGTCTTGGTTACAAAGTTAGTTCTTTAGGTGACATAAGTTTTTAATGCCATCAGACAGCAGAGGAGAATGATCTATCTGCACTGCTGATGGAGGAGGCCAGTAGCTTGTATGGTTGCATGTTATCTGCTTGAATCTATATAATTTGACTTGAAACACTCCAGAAAATGGGGAAAAAAAATCAAAGGATATTGTAGGTTACAATAAATCCTTCTTTCGGCATCCTAGATCCCTGTAATCCAGATCGTTCCTCTGCCAGACACCTGTAATCTCCTGTGTGTTGCACTAGGAGACCTGGAAATTGGAGAAATAAGGTGATGTATTTGTTTCTTACTAGTGCTTTGCACACAGAATAGCTGCAGCTTGACTCTCTTGAGTAGTGGCTGAAATTATCTCTTACTAATGTATCACTTTCTCAGTTGCTTTAACAGTTGGAAAATATGGAAGGGATTTCTAAAAATCTACTATAAAAACTTGCTATTCACACCAGGAGGTGCCAGACTGGTTAAACACAGGCATATTTTTAGATGCTGTGGCATGTTTGAATGATGCTTCCTTCTGTCCTTACATGTACTTTTCTCTTAATTTAGGCTTTTGCTTTATTCTACTGAGAATGACTCATTCAAGCAGTCACTAGTAAAAGCTGGAAATATAAAAGCTGTTCTTGGGCTACAGGAGAGGAGGCTGGTCAGCAGCTGCAGGACTGGGCAAGAACAGCAAGTGGAGATGGTATCTCTTGCAGAGACAGGAAGGTGAGTCTGCTGGTTTTTGGGGGGTCTCTGTGGAAGAAAGGTAAGGAAACAGCTGTGGGTTCCTCTCCTTTCTGGAGGTGTGCTGGGTGCAGAGCACACGTATCATTTTGTCTGCTTTTTCTCACGTGCTCATCTGCTGTTCAGGAGCAAGGATGGACAGACTTTGATGCCCCCTGAAGAAACTGTTTTAGCTTTTGCTGAAGTAGAAGGAATGAGAGAGGCCTTGGTTGGCACCACTGCAGTGAACAGCATCGTTGTTTGGTCAGTGTTTCCTTTGCAGTTCAAGGAGTTGACTTGCAGGTGTTTGCTGTGGCTGTACAGGTGGGACACAGGGGTGCTGGGGGGCAGCTGGTTTGCCTGTGAAGGGATGATTGTCAAAGGGTAACTTCTGTACTGTTGGAATGTACAGCTGCTGCAGCCCCTCTTCTTCCTTTGCATCACGTTGGTTACATCTCGTCCTGTGGCCTCGTGTCTTAGTTTATGTGAAACCAAAAATGTGTCTGTCTTGTATAGCAGTGTAGCAGTGGTCAGGAAAGAAGAGCTAGAAGGTGGAAGCTCATTCAGGTTTTGTTTTCACCAACTGCAGGAATCTGAAGACAGGCCAGCTGCTGCAGAGGATGCACATTGGCTGTTCCTACCTGGCTTCCATCTGCCACCGGGCGTATTCCGACTCGGTGAGGGCCCCATGTGAGGGGGTATTGGTTGCAGGTACCCCAGGGTATCAACGGCTTGGAGCCAAGATTCATACTAATGAGTCTTTCCCACTTCCTTTCACCAGTGCTGTGACTCCAGATGGATTTTTGTAGTTTATCAGGGGTTTGATTGTTTTCAGGGAGCCTTTAGCCTTACGGAGCAAGAATGTCTTGTCCGATAATGATGGCTCCAAAGAGTCTGACTCTCTGGAGACTTCCTCAGTGTCCAAGGGCTCTCCATGCTGTGGCTGCTCTGAGAGCTGCTGCTGTCACCTGTGCTGGTTTGCAGGGAATTCTCGTTAAATTTTAAGCTCCTAGGGATTAAAATGGGCCCCAGAAATCTTACTTTAAATGTCACCCTATCCTATTGCAAGTTTAACTTTTTCAGACAGAAAGTTAAGTGCATAAATAAGTGGGGTCACTGTGCTGTCATCCTGCTGCATTGCAGGCCCTTATCAGTCAGCAGCTGCTTTGGGCTTTATCTAATTTGATAAGGAAAGTAAACCATTTCTGTTTTATTTAGTAAGAATAATGCATCACTGTCCACGGGGCTCTGATTATAGGCAGAACGTAGCCATTAATTTCTGGAAAATTCCTTGGGTTTTTCCCCTCTCGCTGTTGATTTCAGTGATGTCTCTTTCCCCTCTCTCCCAGGGCCTCCTGTTTGTTGTGCTAAGCCACCCCCACGCCGAAGAGAGCGATCCCAGTGGAAGCCCCGCGTTCCGCCTGGTGGCGTTCAACCCCCGCACGGCCCGCGGCGCGGGGGTGCTGTGCTCCTCCCTCCCGCCGGGACAGGCCGGAAGGCAAGGAGCGGGACTGGCTGCGGGACTCCTTCGGGGTGGGATCCCTGAGCGGCTCTGCTGGCCGGGATCCATCTGCCATCTCCCGGCGATAAGGGCGCTGCATCCGCGGGTCCCGTGAGGCTGCCGGGCGTTTCCTGGCGGCGTGCTGCCCCAGCCTGACCCGGGGCTCCTGCTCTCGGTCCTGCCCTGCCCCCCCAGCGCGGCACTGGAGACGCTGTAACGGGGCTCATCAGGGAACACGCCCGGAGCCTTTGTGCTGGGGGGGCAGGGAAGTTTAGCAGCTCGGCAGCCAGATGACCTTTTCCTTCCCATCTCTTGTGTTTTGAAGACTAAGCTGTTTGGGGCTCAGTCTTGCCACGTGCCCCCCCCCCATCGTCCTTCCTGCGTGCACAAGTGTCAGTGGGTTGGGGTCTTGGCTGACTGAGCAGTTTTCAAGTGTGTGGAAGGATTGTCCTGACATCCTTTGTTCTCAGGTGCACTGAGAACAGTTAAAACCAGCTAACTAGTTAAAAACTAGGCAACTGTAAAACGTGGTGTGATGTCGTTGTGACAAAACGTGGCAGAGCTGTCCCCTCGTGTCCCCGCAGGTACCTGGAGGGTGACGTGCAGGACACCTGTGCCGTGGCCGTGCTGAGCTCGGGAGCCATCGCGGTGTGGGACGTGCTGCTGGGGCACTGCACGGCCCTGCTGCCCCCGGGCC